CATCGATGTGGGCATCGATGCCTGCATCGATACCTGCATCGATGCCTGCATCGATACCAGATTACTGTAGCGCGCGTCAATGGCTGATTTTGCTTGTCTTGGGGCTCAAGTTTGATCCAATGGCTCTCATTCACTGATGTTTACTATAAATAGGGGTTGAGAGTGAGGGGTTAGAGGTGTGAAAAATTTTATAACTCCTTTTGGAGAGGAGGGTTACTCTTAATTGAGAAGGCCTTCCAAAATTGTAACTTTAGTTGCAATTAATAATAATAATTTTTTCACCACTTTAAATTTTTCTCTTCTTCTCTTTGTTGGATGATGAAGATGAAGATGAAGATGGAGAATTATTTGAAGGTTTGCATTTCTTTTCTTTTTCTCTTTTATTGTTATTGCTTATTAGTTTAGATTTATGCTTGTAGTTAGATTTTATTTTCTTGTTAAATAGCCAAGAGGCTAGAACCCTTTTGCCTTAGATTTATTTTATGCTTATAGAGTAGATTTATTTTCTTGCATTTAATTCTTGCAATTTTATTTTGTAGTTTAGATTTTGCAATTTATTTTGTAGTTAGATTTTAATTTCTTATACTATTCACCTTGAGGCTAGAACCCTCTTGGGTTTAGTTTTTCTTTTTGTTTATTTTTATTTTGTTTGATTCGCCTTTAGGCTAGAACCCTTTAGGGAATCATCCTTTTTTAAGAAGTGGGTTCAATTTTAGATTATCCATATCTATAATTGAATCCACCATCTTTAATTTCTTACATTTTCTTTTATTCTATAATTTTGTTCTTCATTCTTGATTTTTCATTTGTTTCTTGATTTTATTCATTTTTTCCTTCTTGCCTTATTGATCACACTCATTCTTTGTCACATCCACTCTCACTTAAATTTTGCGTCGTTTCACACACTATCACTTACACTCTCATTATCTCTCTACAATCACATTTACTCATCACTCCTATTTGTCACGCACACAAAATAAGAACCAATTTTATATTTTCTCCTACAAAACACCTTCATCGTGGGATCGATATCTTAAATACTATAACTTGACACGGTTGTGCACTTGCAACCTTTTTGGTACATGTTTATGCCGCATCAGTTATCTAGTGGGTCACATTGGCTATGAGTCTTGAAATGAGACTTACAAAATGTATGAGGGTCTTTATCCATGAAATCATTATATGCCTTCCTTGAAAGACCCCTTAGCTTGGTTGCTCCATATGCAAACTTTCCCATTGTAGCTGCTTTTGTACATTTCCAAAATTGCCTTTGCAAAAGCCTAACATATATATTATAAGCTGATCTGCATTTGGTTCACTAGGTCGATCTGCATTTGGTTCACTAGACTTGGTTGTGCATGAGTCTTAGTTGTTTATCCTGTATCTGCTTCACTTGGCTAATCCATTTAAATCCTTGCACCGGAATTGAAAGCTATTTTACCCTTATGTGCAGCTAGCGGGGCAATATTTCTTTCTCTCACCTCATAAAGCTCCTCATGGTCACTATTTAATGCCTTTTCTACTTCACTATCAATTGAGACATCACTTTCATACCCCTTCGGGATATTAGCTTCATGGTTAGAATGACCTTCATCAGTCACCCTCTTTTTCTCCACTCTACTTTTAGACTCTTCAACCAAATCATCATCATCATCTACTAATTCAGTTGGGTCAATTTTGTATGTTTTATTCTCCACTGAGTCATCATCATCAATAGAGGATGCATTCTGATCAAGATGAGTTAGAGTGACAATTTTTTTTCCTCTTTTCACCTCTTGATAATACTTTCCTTATAGGGGTTAACTTGTTTCTTTAATGTATTAATTTCTTTCTTGTAGAGGTTATCTTCTTTCTCTTAGAGGTTATCTTCTTTCTCTCTCTGAAGACACTAGCCTTTTAGGAGTAAACTCAATGGGGTTAGGAACTTCATGCTGATTAACTTGCACTAGAGGATCTTCATTTGAATTGACATCCACTTCAATAGGTTGATCAACAAAATGGTTTGCAAAACCTTAATTACTCTCTCCTTGTGTGCATATTCCTTGAATTTTGCTAAGTCTATATCTAAGACAAGAGGCATGACGGCTCCAACTCCACCATCAGCTATGTCATCCCACAAAGTGAAAACATCAGTATACCCATGCTCTCCAATTTTTCTCTCAATAAGTCTAAAGTCAGAATGTCTTCCTCAATGAATTGCACGTCAAAAGGAGCCACTAATATATTGATCAAACATTAGAAATTCAAATGAACCACCATGTCTAAATTTAACCATAATATTCCCACCCATATGCATGATGAACAAAACAAAACTGAATTACAAATCACAATCACATTAAGCTATGCTCCATATATTACACTTTAGAAAACTCCACTTCCATGTTATTCACATAAAATCTAGTTTGTTAAAATTAATACTTATAAACACTGCAAAACTACAATTTCACTTAATAAACAATATTTTAAACACATGCACCATCAAGGACGTAATGTGAATAGATTCACCTTTTTCTTTTTGATGAGGATGATCAAGGTTTAACTACATATTCTCAGACACCATTTTCACTTTCCCACGATCACTCTTCAGCGAGATTACGAGCAACTGCAAGTTTGGCAACAATCTCCCTAACCGTTTGATCGATAGAACTTTTGAAACGTATGAAGAATGGAGCAATCTGTCAATTTTAGAGCTTTTGTTTTCATTTTGTTAGTTATTTCATGTCATGTGAGCGACACATGTGCTGTTAATCTGTTCCACATCGCTAATCCATGCCACATCGGCTTTTGTAACGGTCATTAAGGGTCACGTGATGGTCATGTGATGTTTTTCGTCGGAAAACTTAACGCCGACTAAAATTTAGACCTAGGTGCTAACTTGAACTCATTTTAAATGCCAAAACATCATTAGAGATATTTTAAATACCAAAGTGGAAAAATGAGTCTTTTTTAAATGTCAATTTGATAGTTTAGCCTATTATATTGTCATCTGTATAAAAAAAAGAGATTATTTTTATATTGATAAAGTTTTTACTTTCCCCCCTTCAACCATTTTATGTATACGTCATCTATCATGGATACGCACAACTATGATAACGACAACAATAAAAACTTCATCCAAACTTTTCTCCAGGGGCCATTCTATCCAAAATGTCTCAATTTGTTTTTATTTAGGACATATTTTAGATAAATTCATATTATATATTTATTTATGTCATAAAATAGGCCACCTCCTTTATTTTTGGTTTCGGATAGAGAATAAAACATCTCCATAGAAGCCCAATGGGCCTGGACCATCTGAGCAAGCCCATTTGTGTACGTGAAAAGGATATGTAGAGTGAATAAGTACCTGCATCCTAATCTTTGGCTCTTATTTTTCCCTTCCTCTTTCTACACCTATGATTGACAATTATACAGGAAGGAACAAAATGGCGACTATGTTCCGTTATCAATTTTAAATCAGTGCAAACGATACAAAAATCAATGCGAAACAATAAAGAACAGTTTGATATAGACTGATCCTAAATTACATCAAGAACTATGCATAACGATACAATTCAAATATGCGACAAGATATCTTTGTCAATCCTTCGGTACGAAGATAAGCTACAACTTCAGACATCCAAGCTTAACATGCACCATCAAATATTCAAAAAATCTTTATCTAAAGCATCAGAATATAGTAATCTCGAAAAGTTATTTCAAGCCAGACCTGAAATTGTTCCAAACAACTCATTGCATTTGCATTTGAAACTCCCTGCTTCGGCTTATGATGTTTGAAGAACAAGCTACAATTGAAATGGAAGGGTAAAAGAAAAGGCAAGTGATTTGCTTCTTGCTACAATGTAGTATCAAAAGAATGAAGAACTTGTTCTAGGACTGTTCGAGTTTTGCTGTCCAAGGGGTTGTCAGGTTTGTCTGAGTGAGAAATATTGAGAAGATAAAGTTTTTTCGAGGTAACGAACGCAGCTGAGAATATCCTCTTCATCCCTCCTCGAGTGCTATCTACCGTGTACTCGAACTCATATATCGGCAGATCACTGTGTCCTAGTCTTTCAGTAAAGGATACGACTTCAGCTTGCTTTGTGCTTTCCTGCAGAGCAAACAACTCAATAGATGTAAACGTGATCATAACGTATATTCACAGAAACCATCGAGAAACACTGTAATTAAAAAGGTCGATTGCGGATGGACCTTCTATAGTTCTATTGTTGCAGATAGACCCCCTAAATGATTTTTCTTATTCTTCTACGGTCAGGAGGTCTGTTTGTCGAAAAACAAATTTCTCATTACATGAGGCTAAAAGAATCTCAAGAAACTCACTCAGAAGGCCTACCAGCAACAATATAGCTACAGTGGGACTATCGCCAGTTGCGCGGTAGCACAGGGGTTTGTCCAGCAATACTCCCAAAAACTTGTGAATTTTAACTTTTACCGAATAATCCATTGAAGAAGAAGAAAGAAGTAGACAGAGAGCAAACCTTTTTCCTCTCAGCTTGAATGAGCTTGGCAGCAACAAACTGTGGACTCCCAAAATCCCTCAAGGAAGCAAGCCTAACAGGACTAACCACAACCCCAATATTATTACTACTCCCTTTCCCTTCTTCTTCAAAAAGTGCAGTAGCTCCAGCTTTCTCAACCTACTCACAACAAACAACAACCAAATCCAAAATGCCAAAAAACCCAACTCAAAACAAGAGAAAGAATATGGGTTAATTGCACACAGACCCTCTATAGTATCGTGTATTATCAGCGTATTAGATAGACACCCTGGAACTGCAACATTAGTATAAAAAAAACAGATGCTCTTATATCAAACTTAGTAAAACAATACTACATGCAATTAATCTCAAAAAAAAAAAAAACAAAGTCTCAATACCTTAGTCCAAGAAGAAGGGATAAGGAGAGAAAACCCATTTGCGTTATCAATGTAAGGCTCCAAAGGGGTTGTTGTCTGTTTAGGAAGTGAAGAAGCTGAAGAGGATGAGGGAGGAAAAAGGACTGTTGGGATTAAGGAGAAGGTTAAAGCTCTTCTTGTGGGTGTAATGGGATTGGTGATGTGAAGGTGTTGATGCCGTTGTTGAGGTTTTTGATGGAGGTGGCTGTTGATGATGGTGGTCACGGATGAGGGAGTTGGGAGATTGGAGGTTGATGATGATGGGATTGGGAACTGACCCATGAGCTCCTTGAGTGGAGGAGATAAGAGATTGGAGTTCAGATGAGCTCCATGAGGACTAAACCGGACCCAGATAGAGCTCAGAAAAGTTTTTTGATTAAAATTTCCCCTTTATCTCTAAAGAGAAGCTATTTTTTTGAATTTAATTGAAAACTCAGTCAAAATTTTAAGATTTATTTATATAAAACAATCTGAGTTTTAGAATCGTGTTAGCAATTCGGCACGAGAGGTCGACTAGTTGAGATTTTCTGCGCGGTTAGAACTCTGTATCATTGAAACAGAAAGGACTTCATGCGCGAAATTACAAGTAGTAGTGCAGATCAATTAACCAGTCAAATAATGTAGATTCCTTGCTGCGAGTTCAATCCAGAATCCTGAAGTAGAGAGACTGAATGGTGATGATAATTCAAGAAAAGGGTACAGCTATTACGAGCTTACAACAATGGATTTATTTGTTTTTGACAGTTTTGACATATACAATTGGCCAAAGTTTTTCGAACCAAAAATGAATGAACTAATAAAATGATACAATGTGGCTATAATTCTCTGTATCTTCAGCTAAACATTAGGAATAGCAAGACATCCCATTCCAACCAATCTCGGCAGTATCTGAAAGTTTCAAAATATTCAAGAGATGTTTTAGAAAACATAACAATGGGAAAAAAAGAGAGAGAAAGAAGAAAGAAGTTTAACGTATGTACCTCCCCACATCGAGCATTGATTTTCAATGGCACAAAATCATCAGCTCGTGTTTTACCTATGTTGACTATTGCAATGGAAGCATTTGCATCTGAAGCAGCTCTGCGAGAACAAATTTTGCAAGATTAGTCAACCATGGATACAATTTCTCATAGAGATGTGCATGCTCTGCAACAGGAAAATCATGTAAAGCATATTTTTTCACAAGGATGATAGATAGTTGTTGAGCTCTGGGAACCAAGATGCTAAGAGTTCAAAATATGTACAAGTAACATTTTCTATAAGGGTTTAAGCTCTATCTCAATGGCAATAGGGAACCAAGATGCCCAGAGTTCAAAAATATATACAAGATAATGTTTTCTATAAGGGATTAAGCTCCATCTCTGTGGCAATAGGGAAGTGCTATGAATGGAACCATATTTCCATATCAATATGCAAGAATACACATCACATTGTTTATATAAAAAAACCCAAAATAATAATTTCCTGTCTCAACGATATATATTTATTGTTAAGATTGTTACACTATTTGTGTACAGATTGTTCTACCAATTCACTGATCAACATTTTTTGAAGCGCTCCACTTTAGCACTTACAATTATCAATTACCCTACAAAGGTGCATTTAATTCTCAAGATTTCTACTGAATAAGCTACAAGGGGCTGAAATCTTGAAACAAAATACCTGACTAATCTAAATGCAGACATGGTCATCACCGCTGAACCCAGAACAAGGAAAGCATCACAACTTTTTGCAGCTTCCATCGCTTTGTCCGCCCTCTCTTTTGGGACATTATCACCAAAAAGGACAACCTTCAAAAGACAAACATAAACAACAATTTGAAACTTGGTTTATGTTGTTTCTTTCTTTGGTACATCAACTGACAAGAAAACAATAACATAGGGAATCTGAGTAACAAGCGGAAATTTTTTGGAAAACAGTAGTGATTGGTTAATTGCACGTCACAAATTATAAATATCACAAAACATGGTAGATCACGATGAGATCGATATCTCATCTGAGCAATTACCTCCAGGAAGAAGCATAAAATAGAAAAGAAACTTGCGGAGAAATTATGATAACTGGAATGAGTGTGGTAAAAACTTTAAAATTTCCCAACCAATCAGTCAGATTCCAATAATACTTGACCAAAATGATGCTCATAAATGTATGTTTAGATCCTTGCAAGGTGATTTTGTTTGAAATGAATGTAAGCTTTATTCAAACCAAGTAAGAAAGTGATAAATACATACTCAACCAAAACACTTATCACCATGTAAGCTACTACTTACAGGCTCAAACAAACAAACTGTTATAACCTTTAAAAGCCAAAGAAAACCCATAAAACCTCATGTTGCTCTGTTGTTGACAAAGATAGGCTTAATATGAAATTTGTCACAACATCTTCTATTGCTCAAACAATCCTTCATGACAATAACTATGCTAGGTGATTTGTATCTTGTAAATATAAGGTTCAATTTTTGAGCTATATTGTAAGCTTTTATCTTGTCGCTATCAACAATGCACATGTATATAATCTTTGTAACCCATTTTTTGGGGATGTTTCATTAAGTTTGTGTTAATGAAACTGGGGAAGTTTGTAGCCACACTGTTTGTCCAGATAAAAAAGAAATGAAACATAATGTAGATATTGACATGCTTACATCAGGTTTTAGCATCCCACCACACTTCTCGCAGTCAGGAATATCAAACTCTTCCTCCCAGAATTTTTCATCAATCTCAATATCTCCATCAGGACGTTGCTGCATGCCAAAATTCTTGTCTGAACCTGGATCTCCACATTCCAGACTTTCAACTGCTGAAGCCCACTGTAGCATATGGTGGTTAACTCTTAAGACGTATTGATAAACTTTAAATTAAGGGGGATTAACAGTACTACTACTAAATATATTTGCCTGCTAACTTGTTACCATGTAATAAAACAGAACACACATTCTGTAGACAAGCTAATAGCCAAATGATATGCAAACAAGTGTAGAAAAAAGGATAGACATCTGACGTGTCACTTGGATGCAACTGCCAAAGTTTAACAAAAAGTAATGCCCCCACATATCATAGTGAAAAAAATGAACACAATGGATCAAGCACCTTGAGGAACTGGCTGATTATCAATTGAAGACTTTCTTGAGAAACAAGGTTTCGGATATTGGTCAAATGAATGAAGCACACAATTCCCAAAATTTTCTGAAATGGAGAACACAAGACTCCCAAAACTAAATATGTTCCTTTAGACTATTTCTGCAAAAGAAAAACAAACTTTTGCGATGTCCACAACAATCAAGAGGATAAACTATAGTCATACAGATGTAGTTTAATCTTCACAATCATGGAATTGCATTGAGATGAAGGAAAATACCAAGTCACAGGATGATTAGTCTATCACATGCATTTGGTAAGCATAACCATAATATTTGTTTGGTTAATAGCGGATCTCCTACTAAATACAAAAAGGGATGAATCAAGATGGGGCACAAGCACTTGGTGTTCGGTTCATTGTTGAATTTGATGCAGCATAAAGTCATTAATATAGGAGTCTAAATTTTGATTTTAATTAAATATCATTAAAGGAAAATACACACATGCACACAGCTAGTTACCACCAATAAGTTCCTTTATTCTTTTGATGAATCCATGAGTCTGTATATAAATCATATGGTATGTACTGTTGTGCGCAGCGGAAATTTCGGCAGCACCTCCGGTGCGCTAGGTGCACAACAAGAGATTAGATCACAACGAAATTCTCGTTTCTCAAAGGAAACAAGAATCAAAAATCCAGATATCTCATCGAAGTGAGATATCAGTTCTTCCTCTCGTCAGCTCTAGGACTGCGCGTCGAGGGAACCTACAAGCTATTACAAATCACGACAAGAACACAACTTTTACGTGGTTCGGCAAACTGCCTACGTCCACGGGGCAAGGAGGGGGAGATCTACTATTAGAGGGAGAGAATACAACTGGGTTTACAATCACTCAATCTAAACCCTCACACAAACTCTTCGATCCCTCACACAATTATCTCTCTCAAAACAAAAGACAGCCGCCAAAAACAAAGGAAAGCCGATCTGTTCCTTGCACTGCTCCAAAGCCGCCTTCGCATTGCTCCAAAGCCGCCGCACAGACCCTGCACCCCCTCTCTTCGCGTTGCTCCAAAAAATACCCTAACTTGCAAGCCACAAAACCCTAGGTAATAGCAGCTATATATAGCTGTAGTTTCATTTGTTTATTTTCGGGTGGGCCTTTTAACCGCACCTGCACTTTCCTTTTGTCCGCTGGACTTAACCTCCCACGCGGTTTCACGTTCATGCATAAACGAAGAAACTCACGCGGTTTCACATGGGCTTCACTTGGGTGGCCCCCACTCTGTCCGCGTTCACAATTCTCCACCTCGGTGAAGTTTTTCCAAAACTGAGTCGACACCAACCAAACCAAATGCCTCACTTGTTGTATCCAGTACGCCATGGCAACGGACTCATGACAACGGACTTCATCCACAACAGGTCGAGACCCAAACGGGAGTGCGAACACTCAACCCAAACCAAATAGTGTCTACTCACCAAATCGGCTGCATCATAAAGACTGCCTACTTATCCTCTTGCCCAAGGAATCAAGCATTCACGTAGTTCACCCAAATAGCCGCTAACGACCTCAATCCAATAGAAGAGTTCGTAACCCTTCTCCAACATCACGATCAAGTCTACGGCTGATAGCACCTCCAATGACCCTAAACTGAAACAATCCAAACATCTTCACCTGAGATGAACCAACGGCCATGTCTAGACTACATCTATCAGCTGTACTCGAATCAATCAACCTATCATCTGCGTCCAAAACAACATGATTCCCAATCTGTGTCACATCAGCTGGAATCCCAAATGATGCAGTATGATCTGGAGTTTCCACCCAACGTGGAGTAGCATCACTCTCCACCCGCTGCGATGTCCTAATGATCTGATCACCACTCTCCACCTGCCGAGAGTCAAACGTGACATACCTGCTCAGAACAAAGTCAGAAGCCAATACCTGATAATCAAACACGCCTCTGAATCCCAAATGTGCTATCGGATCAAATCTCACATCCACGATGTGACCAAGTGCTGGGTAGCTAAACATCCGACGCAACCCAAAATCTGAAGCAGCTCCACCAGATCCAAAATCTCTACATGCAGCAGTCGGCAACCTATACATAAGATGGCCCAAACATGTCGTAGCCCGCACACCAATGCCAATGCTCGACATCAAACACCGATCCTCCTCCAGAAAAGAACAGCTCCCCAAATCTGCCATCTCATCACGTCGCCTCAAAGTTTTCACACCAATGAAGTGTCTCCAATTGCCGTGAGCTCGGCACAAATGCATAAATAGGTCCCTCTTGTACCTCTCTCTAACATCAGACTGAAGTACCTTCACATTTCTGTCAATACACTTCCTCCATCTGTTGCGGGCTTCTAGGACTTCACACCAACGGGACTTGGTTGCAACCCACCAATGCCTAGAGCAATCCCCAACTGCGAAAACCACATACTTATTACCTCCTAATAATGCTCCCTTGGAAGGCCCCCGAATGCCTGAATGAACACCCCTCAGAAGACCCCTCGAATGATGGATAGAAGTACCAAACTCCATCTCGGTCTTCTCGCTCATACCAATGGGTTCACAGGACTTCAAACTACAGGTCATAACACTCCTCAACAACCTATGCACGGCATTACTAATCAAATAACCCAGCATCAAACATCACCACAGTCTAGCCGAATCTGATGAAGTCGTCATCTCGCTATCAGTCGCCGTGCTTCCAAGTAAATAATACAAATTGCTCCTTCTAACGCCCTTCATCACAATCATGGACCCCGATGTGACCTTCAAACGTACATCCACCAAGGTCACTTTATAGCCAGATGCCACCAAAGCTCCTAGTGAAATGATGTTCATCAACAGCTGCGGAACGAACCTCACTTCATCCAACTCCTGAATCACTCCGTCATACATCCGAATACGAATGGTACCAATACCACCAATAGAGCATGCATGTCCATTACCCATGAGCACAACATCATCTCTTTCTAACTTCTGAAAGCTGGAGAACCAATCCCTCCTAGGGCAAACGTGGTATGAAGTACCCGAATCTAACATCCATTCTGTAGAGTTGGTAACACAAACTGACGGCAGTGCAGACAACGAATAGCCCGAAGAATCCGAATCTGAATTGTTACCACTAGTCTTGACAACATTCACCTCCGAAGCTTGTACAGCTTTCCCCTTATTCTTCTCGGCTCGATCTAACTTTGGACATTCGGCTTTTCAATGTCCATCCTCTTTACAAAAGGCACACTGATTCCTACGAATCCCACGATGTGCACCTCTAGACCGCGACCTTCTGCTTCGGTTTGAACCACGACCTTGAACTACTAATGCATCTCCCGATACCTTCTCGGAGGACTCATCAACACTCTTCCTCAACTCATAATTCACCAACGCTGAGGTCACCTCCTTGTAACTAACAGTAGTTCTTTCATTAATCATAGTTAGGACAAACGTATCATAATCATCATCGGGCAACGAACACAAAAGTAGCATCGCCTTGTCTTCATCCTCAACCATGATATCCACATTAGCCATGTCTAAAAGTAGCTTTGTGAAGTTATTAACATGCTCCCTAATGGAAACTCTCATCTTCATCTTGAACTGGTAAAACCTCTTCTTCAAGTGAAGCCGATTCTCAATGCTCTTCGTCAGATACTTCTCATTGAGTGTTTCCCACATTCTCTTCGCCGACATCTCGTTCATCACGTCATAAATAAGATCCGGCGTCAAGCATGACCGAATAACTCCACACGTCCTACTATTCATCTTCTTCCAAACCTTAGCTTCCATATCGGCAGGGTTCTCTTGTAACTCAAGAGTCTCCTCCAAATTCTGAGCGTCCAAGGCGTCCATAACCTGACACCTCCACAAACCGAAATTGATCTTGCCGTCGAACTTCGGAACATCAATCTTTATGTTATTGATGCTCAAATTATGTATCGTCTTCGTAAGAGACGATCCCGATGTGCTTGTTTCACCCATGTTGTCGATCTAATCTTCAAATAGGAATCCTTCAGCGAATCCTTCAAACAAGCTCCCAAGTCCAACCAGGAGCTCTGATAACACTTGTTGTGCGCAGCGGAAATTTCGGCAGCACCTCTGGTGCGCTAGGTGCACAACAAGATATTAGATCACAACGAAATTCTCGTTTCTCAAAGGAAACAAGAATCAAAAAGCCAGATATCTCATCGAAGTGAGATATCAGCTCTTCCTCTCGTCAGCTCTAGGACTGCGCGTCGAGGGAACCTACAAGCTATTACAAAACACGACAAGAACACAACTTTTACGTGGTTCGGCAAACTGCCTACGTCCACGGGGCAAGGAGGGAGAGATCTACTATTAGAGGGAGAGAATACAACTGGGTTTACAATCACTCAATCTAAACCCTCACACAAACTCTTCGATCCCTCACACAATTATCTCTCTCAAAACAAAAGACAGCCGCCAAAAACAAAGGAAAGCCGATCTGTTCCTTGCACTGCTCCAAAGCCGCCTTCGCATTGCTCCAAAGCCGCCGCACAGACCCTGCACCCCCTCTCTTCGCGCTGCTCCCAAAACAAAAAAAAAACCCCAACTTGCACGCCACAAAACCCTAGGTAATAGCAGCTATATATAGCTGTAGTTTCATTCACTGCTCCAAAGCCGCCTTCGCACTGCTCCAAAGCCGCCGCACAGACCCTGCACCCCCTCTCTTCGCGCTGCTCCCAAAACAAAAAAAAACCCCAACTTGCACGCCACAAAACCCTAGGTAATAGCAGCTATATATAGCTGTAGTTTCATTTGTTTATTTTCGGGTGGGCCTTTTAACCGCACCTGCACTTTCCTTTTGTCCGCTGGACTTAACCTCCCACGCGGTTTCATGTTCATGCATAAACGAAGAAACTCACGCGGTTTCACATGGGCTTCACTTGGGTGGCCCCCACTCTGTCCGCGTTCACATGTACCTTCTCTGTCACAGACATGTGGCATTGATATGGTGTTTTACTATATGGATCATTAATTGTGTATGTTAGCTTTACAAAGAAAGTGAACTTTTACGAAAAGACAAATGATTATATGCAGAAGTTCATACCTTTGGATTTAGGGCCTTTACTTGTTCTTGAAATAAGTTACGACTCATAGAACTCCCACATTGTAAACAAGCTACAGTATAAACAGTTCCATGCAACTCAAGTGGGTCACTACCAGCACGATGGTGCAACCTGAAGTACAATTGAACAACATACAAGGAGCTCAAAAAGTTGCTGCAAAATATTTCAAATATAAAACAAGTTAAAAAACACCACTTACCTATCCACATTCTGGGTAATCATAAAATTAATTCGACCCACTTTTTCCAAAGAGGCAAGAGCAGTATGGGCTGCACTCGGCTGTGCTGCTGTGAACCTTCTCCATCCAGCGTAGCTCCTGGCCCAATATCGCCTTCGGGCTTTACGTGATCGAACAAACTCCTATTTTAGTCACAAGTTTATCCACGGAAACATTATAGTAATATAGCAGGAGAAGATTGTTCAACAACATCATTCAGATGGCACAAGCTCAGTGAGAAGTAGATTTAAGCATGCATGTCAAGAAAAGAAAAAGGAAAAAAAATTAACAGAAGCTTTAATAATCATGTTCTTCCTGTGAGTCAATTTACCTAGTTTTATTGGGAAAAGGCGACATGTTTCTCAGAATTCATGCATTTAAATCCGAAGCTATACTTAGTACATAAAAAAGCATAATTATTCTTTAAGAATCTCCCATAGGTAGAACACAGAAGCAATACTTCTATCTCCATCTTTACAAATTTGGAGTTATATTAAGTGGAAAAATAATCCCATCATTTCCAAAATTCCCCCGTTTCATTGTTACCTCATCTCTTAGCCCAAGAAAGAAACCCCACATTAAATTTATGGTATGTGCTAGCTACAACATGAAGCAAGCATGTATCTTCAAACTTGGAATAATCCAATACATAAAACTTTCCTAATTTCTTTACTGATGAGGCAGAAACACAACAATATCACAATGCATTTTTACTTAACTTCCCCCTTTCAACAGTCAACAATGCAGCATTGCGGCTTATTATTCCAGCATAGCCAAGACTAAGAAAGATAACTATTTTGATACAATAACATATACATCAACAATTATTTACCATTGCGAAGAAATATCCGAGCTTACACTAACCATACAAACATGCACAATTTGAATATACAGAAAGCCTCACCTGATGAGTAATTGGCTTAAACCCAGAACTATAAGCTCCATTAGGACTGCCCATAACAAAAAAACAACGTAACCCACAATCAAAAAAGCACAATCTTAGGAAACACAAACACAAAAAATATTCACCTCCTATAATCAGGAATCCCAGACTCTGTGCTCATCCCTGCTCCAGTCAAAACAACAAGCCTTCGACTGCATAATGACAGTAACAAAATCACTTATGAACCCAACTATCAACAAATATCAATCTAAAGAATGTACCTGCACCTTTGCTCAAAGAATTGCTGCAGCAAACCAACATCCCTCGGATTCGGCGGCTCCGAATCAGGAACTATCCTCTTATCTTTCAAGAACTGAACAGGCCTTTTCTTCTCAACTTCCGACGAGCTCTCGAGCGAAGAGTGGCGACTCATCGCCAGCAGTTGCCAAAAGCTCTTCTTTTTATAGGGAGAATTGCTCTTCAGGCCCAATTGAGTCGCTGCCATGTCCAAATCGAGCTCGGATGAAGAACAAATTGAACGGTGGGGGAGTTTGAACCCAGCAGCGAGAGCTAGCTGCATGATTTGAAAGAGAAATTGAAGATAAATTGAGAAATAGGGGGTTAAAAATTAATTTTTTTTTTTTTGGGAATTAGGGTTGCTCACCGATTTTGGATGAAGACGGAGATAGCTATTAGCGATCATGGTCGTCTCGTTGAGGTCGTTGGAGGTTATTGAATTTTTGGGGGCAAAATATCGCGGTCCACGTAGATTACGCAAACACCAAGAACTTTCAATGTTTTGCACCAAAGCCTTAATGCCTTTCCAAATTGCAGTAAGCCCCCCCCATAGCTTTTTGGAATTGTAATAAATCTTCCAGTAAGCTTCCGTGTCTTTGCAGATAACACCCATAAATTAGAACCAGAAAAACAACATGAAAATGCATTTTTTGAAAGTTATTGGGGGGTTTAGTGTAATTTACCCTAGAAAAATTACTCAATGCTATGGGTATGTTTGCTTTGCTAAGAATAGTTTTGGTCTAAATACAACGGATGAGGAAGCGATGGTAGTGAAGAGATTTACCATTCATTATGATTTATGAGTGTATTGTTGCCCCCGGATGAAGCACGCATTAAGACTTGAGCATGCAATACCTAAGAAGAATAACAACGGTGAAGCAGTGAGTACTAAAAAGATTTTGGGGACCAAATCCAGAATAAGAATATGTGGGGACCAATTCGTTATAAATGAAGATTTGGGGGACTAGTTTCAAACTATGAATATTTGTGGAACTAACTCAAAATATGGAACATGGGCGGATCAAATCTTTAGTCTATTTAGTATCAGACCCAATTCACATCATATCATATCATATCATACTTCTTTTAAAAGCACGAGTTTGAGAAAATCTTTCGATAGACAAAAATACCTTTAAAATTCTATAGGCTGTCTAAAAATTACAACAGATAGTCAATCCCCATCAAACACCGATGATGGAAGTTACAATATGACGACTTCCAGAAAGTTACAATTTGAAGACTTTCACGTAGATCGATGAATGTTACAATCTGACGATCTTCACAACAACTGATGAAAGCTCTAATCAACAGCCTTCACAATCAACATCGGGAGTTATAATCTGATGACTCTTATATTTGCAAGGAGCCAAGATGAAGATTACAAGATGACGGTCTTTGCAACGCTCCAGCAAAAGAGACCACAAATTGATGGTCTCTTCACATCAAAACGCAGAGGGCGTTTCACCATCAAAACGCAGAGGTCATCCCTGTGTTATATACCATCAAAACACAGAAGTCATACCCATATTCCAGAGTCAAAACGCAAGGGCCATCCCCAGCATTCAAGTCCAGACGCAGAGTTCGTGGACTCAGAAACGCAGAGTTCATGCAGAGTCCAACTCTGCGTCTCAGGTCCAAAACGCAGAGTTCATCTCTGCGTCCCAACTCTGCGTTTCAGAATTACAACGCAACGCAACCTGTGCGTTCAGCCACCAAAATAGGCACAACTTTGTGTTTCAAGTCTAAAACGCAGAGTTCGGGCCCAGAACGCCCAGACTGGTGTTTTGACTCGTTCAAAGCACAAACTGAACAGTTTCAAAACCGTTCTCCCCACGGTTTGGGGAGCTGTTTAAGGGGACAGTTACACCCCATTTAGCCCCACTTAGGAGCGAATTAAGGGGGCGGTTATACCCTTTAATCTCCTATAAATAGTGAGAAACTCAATTGAGTTTAGGTTAGATTTTTGGCTCTGGGATTGATCCTTCTTTTTGGGCAGCAAAGAAGAGATTTGTGGCTAGCTTTTTGGGAGAATTGCTGGAGCTTTGGAGATCAGCAACAGGAGCTTTCTTCGGCCTTGGCTTGTCAAACCGATTTTAGGTTAAATCAATTCTTTCATAGAGTTTCAAACTCGTTCAGAGTTACCAACTTATCAAGAGTTCTAAAACTTGCTTTGCAAGTTCTCCACAGCGTCAAATCGTAAGGAGAAGACCACGTTCTAGTGAATCAAGACGTTCGGATCGTCAATGAAGAGCAATCTCGACATGAGCATTCGAGAGAGGCAGTCCATCGCCACCGTGAAGAACCCAGAATTAAATAAAGGGGAGAATCCATATCATTCTCCTCTCTTTTGTAATCAGGAAATCCAATTGTAATCGGGATTGAGAGAGTTGTAATCATTCTTTTTCTAAGCAGATAGAGAGAATAAATCAAATACGATTCTTTTATTATTTTTCTTATTACAAATTTTTCACCAAACAAATTCAAATATTAATTCATTAAGTAAGAGTAAGTTGATAAATTAATGAATTCTTATTGGATATACATAGTATGAATATAAGGATATAGTTTAAATTGAAATATAAACCTGAATGGAATTATTAAATGTCAAATTCACAAATGTTTACAAGATGAAGGACGTATATGAATAAACCAAACAATTTAACGAGGCAAAATAATGTCTACTCTAAAGATCGAACCCATGAGAAGTGCAGACCTACAAATGTACATAATGTTGACAGTGTATCTGCAAAACCCACCAAACAAATTAAAGATACAAAATCATTCTTAAAAAAAACAAAATTAAAACAAACGGCTACAATCTGAGGACACAACGTGACGATCTCTCACCGACTAAAATTCAAGTAGTTCATGGTAGTGCATAATTAGTTTTTAAGTTTAATAATACTATTATTATTTAAATAGTTATTTTTTTCTTATTAGATTAGATTAGATTATCTTAATTAATTATATTTTATATTTAAACTTTTTCATATTAAGAAATAACAACAATTTTCACAGCACTTTCATATCTATTTTCTTCTTATTATATTAGATTATATTATTTTAAAATAATTAATTATATTATATGTTTGATTTTTTTTAGATCCAGAAATTACGATAATTTTCGCAGCACTTTCATCTCCTTCAACAAGTATGTGTCTTTGTTATTTTCTTCTTATTGAATTAGATTAGATTGTTTAAACATTATGAATTATAAAATTACAACAATTTTCACATTACTTTCATCTATTTTTTCCCTTATTAGATTATATTATATTATTTTAAACTAATTAATTATGTTATATGTTTAATCTTTTTCAAATTACCAAATTTAATTATACTATTATTATTTAAATATATGTTATTTATATAAAAGTCAAAGAGAATCTCACATGTATCTTAGATCTTAATGCCAATTGTAATACTTACATATGGGTGTTGGTTAAAATAAAGTTCACATATGGGGTTAACTTATGTGATCCTACTTTAACCGGGTTAGAAAATTTAAATATTTTTTCTTTACACCCAAACTCTTTAAGAAAAACCAAAAGAGAGTAGCAATACTATAGCTATATATATTCACAGGACCACAGATTTATTAAAAATAAACGAAGAAAATCACACAAACAAAAACCATACTAATTACCCACACACACCCACTGTTTTCAAACCACTCTTCTCGATCTTCATCTATAATATATCCACATACCCAAGTTAAGCTGCTAGAGTTTCTCGATCTCCATTGTATAATATTCATTACGATGAAGACTCACTTGGGTTCTCTGCCTGCCTTGAACGTCCAATAAAAAATAATGTACTATGCTTTTTAGTTAGTTAATACTGAGATCCTATCATTATAAATAAATTTGGTTAAGATTAATAATTCTTAAGAATATACTACGTTCCACTAGCTTCTACTGCAAACTTGTTAGCTATTTATTCCTAGCCCTAAGAGATTTTTAAAATTAATCTTGAGGGTTGTTTACACTAAAAGAGTAATGTTAGAGCGCCCATACAGTCTATTTTATTATTTAAAATTATCAACACGTTTTGTCTATGATACATATCAATTATGAGTAATAATATAATTTGATTGATCCAAGCATATCCTAATATATTTCTAGACTATTGTCATATCTTTTACTCTTTATTATGTACTGGCCTGATATCACAATTGATTGAGACGATGAAGACATTAATGTAGAATTGCCTAGGCTAAAGATAAATGTGGAGAAGGATTGATCTCGGCTTAATTAAATATGAAATAGGAAGGAATAAATGATAATTTTTTTGAATATTTTATAGTAAAACTTATTTTTTGTGTAAAATTAGGAATTTTAGAAGGAATTTTCACGCAAAATTTTTAATATGTTTATGTGAATGCTTTTGTCATATAAAATTATACTAGAATTATCATTAATCTTTATTTTTTTAAATCTATTAATAATTAAGATATCTTGCAGTAATGTGAAAAGTATGTGCTCTGTGCTGAGCTTATACAAACCATCTTAACACATCAACAATATATTATTGCATTTTCTTTCAAACTTAACACTATATTTTATGACTAAAATAAACAAATTGGAGATCGATGATTTTATCCAATAAATAAATATGTTACATGAAGTTTGATATATACAAATTGAAAAAATAATGTTGTGTATGCAAGTATATAAAAGTATATTGATCCCAGTTTAACACACAAATCTATTTAACAAAATTTTTAAAAACATTTAAATAAAATTTATGACAAATGTAATAATCCATGTTATAGATTTTAAATCAAAATGAATCTGACATATTTTATAGTAAGAAAATAAATAAAAAATAAATAATTTTGATATTTGACCATGTGCATTACAGGTGCACAAAAACTAGTTCAATTAAAAGCTCGAGCTCATATTTTCCCCCAGAAGTCTTCGTTATCTTAAAGGGCGTGTTTGGTTAAAAAAAACCAGTGAGAAATGTGGTTTATGGGATTTAACAACAGCGCCACATCAGATTTTAAATTCTAACTTGATCCATTTTCCTTGTTTGCTTGAAAGCTGAGCTCGAAAAACTCCAGCCATGCTAGCAAAATGGTAAATCCCATTTCAGATCAAAATGATTGTGTGTGTGCATGCGCGCGTGCGTTCAATGCTTATATTCTCACCTTTTTATATTTGTTTGAAAACATTCCTTTTTTTGGCTGGTTTTTATGAACTACTACTCACTCTATTCCTATTACCTGCACGATATGACACTATGCTCTGTCCATTTAATTGCTCTCTTAGGTTTTACGAGTTTTGATATGCTTTCTATTTAATTACTCATCTAAACTCTTTACTGCTGAATGTTAGGTTGAGGGTGGATACCAACCTCCGACGACGATGAGGAGCTCCGGCGAAGCTCCGACGAGCTCCAGGTTGGAGCAGGTGAGCGTCGACTCAGCGAATTCGACGACGAACGCGATGGTGGCTTTGGGCGAACGCGACCCTCGCTCGACGAACGCGACCCTCGGTGTGAACGACCTGACCCGCGCGTTCAAGCTCGTCGACCCTCGCGTTCGAGCGACCCCCACCATCGCGTCCGCTGCACCGCTGGCGACAGGCTGTCGCCAGCCCATCAACTTCGGCTATAAACCCCCCCGATGACCTAGCTCCTGCTGCTCTCTCCCCCGACTTTTCTCTGGCGGCGGTGGCGAAGCCCCTTAACGCAGCAGCGTTTAATCCCTTTGAAAATCGCAGAAGCGATTTTATTTTTGATCTCCAGCTCTCAAATTAGGGATTTGAGGGGAGATAAAGAAAGGGTTTAAGAAGAGAGAGAAAAGAGAAAAGGGTATTTTAAAGTGGGTATTAACACTGTAGCTACAGTGTTTAATTTGAGGAATCTCAGTTTAGAGATTTGCTCTTAACTTGTAATTTCTTGTTAGATTAAATAAGAAATTAACTGTGTGGCTCCCGAGGACGTAGGCAGTTGCCGAACCTCGTAAATCTTGGTGTACTGTTCTCTATACTGCGTTTCTGTTGCATTAGTGGATTTAGGCGTTAAATTCCCAACATATACATGTTCTCTATTAGTTTATTTGAAATCACAACTATGCATGAGAAGTTGTAAACACCTTTTCTTTTATTCTTGCAGGGATTATGGCTAGGTCTAATCTGTGGCCTCTTTTGTCAAGCGACCACTCTGCTAATTATCACTATTCGTTCCAAGTGGACTAAGTTGGATTTAGTAGCTCGGTATGAACGCTTGCTTGTTTAGTTGGACTATATATTATAAGAGAACATCATATGGAGATCTAGTTATAGAAGGTATTATCGGTACTGATGGTAAAATAATTTTTTGCATGCAAACAGTTGAATATGGTAAACATTTGGAAATATCTGATATGAAGAGTATTGCTTCCCTGCTTTCTCATAGGTGGACTAAGCTGGCCTCTATGTTTGTTTTATTATAGATGAAGAAAAATGATATAACAAATTTTGATGTCAGGTATATAGAATTAATATTGCAAGACTGTAAGAATCTGATTACCTTCATTATCAAGAATAGAAGAGCCTTCCAAATTTTCAGAAAGCTCTGGCAAATGAGCATTAATGAGCTTGGTCCTCTTAGTGACGCCCTTCTCCTTCTTCTTTAGCTTCATGGGCTGAGACGGCACTCCAAGGGCCTCAGCAATGGAACTTCTCTTCTCAGTTCTCAGTGTCAGTTGCTGGATTCAACCCATCCATCACAAGATCCTTCTCGATTTCTTACATTTCAGTGGGCAGAACAATGCTCCTGAAGAACTCCTTTAGATCGTCATCGACCTGCATCTCTGTTTTGGAGTCGTTGGCATGCACAATGTCCTCCTTTGGGTCCGTGTTTGAGAGTAGCCATACCTGACCTTCAGCTTTCAGAGCCTGCCCATGCAATATATCACAAGAATGTAGGAGAAATTCAGGACCCAAACATCGTCAAACCAAGACCAGTATTATGATGCATATAAGATTAGGATAGCTCTAGTTGATAACGTCACGTAAATAAAAAAGAAGGATAAAGTTCACAACCCATTCGTTAAGACCCCTCTATACAACATAAATTACAGAAAACTCTCATGAACTTGTTTAACTAATTACCATGACTTACAGTTAGTTTATGTTGTCACTAGTACTCCAGTGCACTGTAGGCATCGAAAATTGCCTATAGGTCTCCACAAACGGTTCGGTATTAAAGAACAACGATGAACGTCACTATCCGACCCACATGAGCCTAATCGACGTCGATGAACGATTGAAGTGAATCGACGAGCCACGTGAGCGGATAGGATTTCGGAACAACGAAACTCGTCCTCCTGTGCCTAACAGCAGATACATGAATTATATGTTGCTGACAAATGGAGGAGAGTCTGAAAGCTTTGATGAAGCTTGTCAGAGTGGAGATGCGAGCAAGTGGGAGTTTGCTGCGAAAGAAGAGAAGAAATCTCTGATCTCCAACCAGTCATGGGGACTAGCTGAGTTGCCCATGGGGAAGAAGGCACGTCACAACAAGTGGGTGTATCGAGTGAAAAAGGAGCAGAATGGTTCCAGAAGATACAGAGCCCGACGAGTTGTCAAAGGATTTCAACAGAATATCCAAGGAAGAAAGGATCCAGCGGATATGTTGACAAAGGCAGCGACCTTTCAAAAACTGAAGTTGTGCGCAACTTCAGTTGGCCTTCATGCATAGATGATGAGGGCGGAGCCACACAGGAGAGGAGCTTAATGAGATAGTCCGTTGCCGTCGGTTTGGTCTCCAAGTGGGAGATTGTTAGGTTGAGGGTGGATACCAACCTCCGACGACGATGAGGAGCTCCGGCGAAGCTCCGACGAGCTCCAGGTTGGAGCAGGCGAGCGTCGACTCAGCGAATTCGACGACGAACGCGATGGTGGCTTTGGGCGAACGCGACCCTCGCTCGACGAACGCGACCCTCGGTGTGAACGACCTGACCCGCGCGTTCAAGCTCGTCGACCCTCGCGTTCGAGCGACCCCCACCATCGCGTCCGCTGCACCGCTGGCGACAGGCTGTCGCCAGCCCATCAACTTCGGCTATAAACCCCCCCGATGACCTAGCTCCTGCTGCTCTCTCCCCCGACTTTTCTCTGGCGGCGGTGGCGAAGCCCCTTAACGCAGCAGCGTTTAATCCCTTTGAAAATCGCAGAAGCGATTTTATTTTTGATCTCCAGCTCTCAAATTAGGGATTTGAGGGGAGATAAAGAAAGGGTTTAAGAAGAGAGAGAAAAGAGAAAAGGGTATTTTAAAGTGGGTATTAACACTGTAGCTACAGTGTTTAATTTGAGGAATCTCAGTTTAGAGATTTGCTCTTAACTTGTAATTTCTTGTTAGATTAAATAAGAAATTAACTGTGTGGCTCCCGAGGACGTAGGCAGTTGCCGAACCTCGTAAATCTTGGTGTACTGTTCTCTATACTGCGTTTCTGTTGCATTAGTGGATTTAGGCGTTAAATTCCCAACACTGAATTCATCATCCTATAGAAAATGATAAAGATATCAATACAAGTGGATAATGCATGCAAAAGAAATTAATCTGCTACGAGTACGTTTTAATGGGTATATTCTCTACTTTTCACATATTGAAGTATTCACGTAGCATTAGCAATCAAAGACTTGCCATGTCAGAACATCACATGTGGTATAGATAGCTGAGAGGCTCCAACGTGACTCTCACGATGACAAATTAAAAGCAAATTTAAAATATGTAAGTTATTTTTTTTGCAACTGATTTTTACATCCATGTTAGCACGCAAGTGAAATACAGTGTTTGTTTGAAAAATTAGATTATTATCGAAAGTGTAATGTGAAGATGACGTAGCAAAATAAGATTAATTAGAAAGTATAATTAAAATCATTTAATTAAATTAGTTATCTTTTTTGTCATTTTCATATGGCTTCGCCACTTTTTAGGGGAAGCCAAAATTACATTAGATCATATGTAACAACTTTCTTACATTTTAATTTCATAACCACTTACATACAAAAAAAAAAAAAAACTAAATTGTTAAATAAAAATAACTTTCTTATTTTCTTCATAAATTAAGGAAAAAAAGAAAAGAAAAGAAAAAGAA